ATATATATATATATATATATATATATATATATATATAATATTAAAGGGACAATCCGCGTCAACCGGATCAGAGCTACGACCAAAATTAGGAGCAACCAAAAAAATCGACCAAGGACTCATTTTAAAGCTTAGAGTGTCTACTTTCAAATGCCGAGTGCGCCTTTGAAAAATCTAATATGGCGGCTCCAATATGGCGGCCGAAAGCCGGAGAAAAATCGAGAGTCCAGCAAAGAAAGCTTGTAAAAATAAAAATTCGCAACCGATCGGGTCATTTCTTATCTCAAATTGTAGCTGATGGACGCCCCTAAAAAGCTGGCTTGGTAGGTTGACAAAATCCAACATGGCGGATCCAATATCGCGGTCAAAAATCCAATATGGTGGCCGAATTTTTAAAATAAACCGATTTGCACCAAATTTGGTATTTGGGGGTTCTGGGGGTCACTGATCACGAATCCGAAGTCAGATTTGCCAGACTCAAGATGGCGGATCCAAGATGGCTGACGAAATTTTCGAAAATCAACCGATTTGTACCTTTGTTATTCGGGTGTTTTTGAGGTCGCCGATCACGAATCTGAGGTTAAATTTCCAAAATTCTCAAATTCAATGTGGCGGATATAAGATGGCTGATCTAATAAGGCGGCGATATTTTCGAAAATCAGTCGATTGACACCAAATTTTATGTAAGGAGGTTTTTGCGGTCACTGGTAAATCTGTGATAAGAATTTAAAAAATTTTTACAAAGTGAAGGTCGAGGCTCATCATGGATCAAATTCAATTAGTTATTGCTCAACAGTATTGAAATCTTAGCAAATCACTGAAGCATATGTGCAGTAATGATTATTTTTATGAGTTTTTTTTTATTACCTATTAAGTAATTAATCTACTACAGGTTGAAATTGTCGGAACCAGGACAATAGGTTAAAATAAAACGCTACCTTGCCTACGTTTCGTTTAATATAAACTTCTTCAGGGCTCAATAGCCAAATAATGATGTAGAAATTCCACAACAGGAAATTTTTTTTAAAGACCACATCTGTGGGCATGACAATTACAAGACCAATCAATTTGAAAGTCAATAAAATATACATATATGTAGACATTAGACACACAACAGATTAAAATTTAACAATGTTCTTAACCAGTATTTTTTAAAAACAACCGATTTGCACCAAATTTGAATTACTGGGGTTTTCGGGGTCTCTGAATACGAATCTGAGGTCAAATTTTTAAAATTCAAGATGATGGACCAAATATGGCGGAAACTCAACCCAATCCACTATATTGGGTCCGTCATCTTGGATTTTGAAAATCAAACTTCGGATTCGTAATCGGCGACCCCAAAAACCCCCGTATAACAAATTTGGTACAAATCGGTTGATTTTCGAAAATTTCGTCCGCCATCTTGAATCCGCCATCTTGAGTTGGCCAAATCTGACTTCGGATTCGTGATCAGTGACATATAAAACTCCCGTATACCAAATTTGGTGCAAATCGGTTGATTTTCAAAAATTCGGCCACCATATTGGATTTTTGACCGCGATATTGGATCCGCCATGTTGGATTTTGTCAACCTACCAAGCCAGCTTTTTAGAGGCGTCCATCAGCTACAATTTGAGCCAAGAAATGACCCGATCGGTTGCGAATTTTTATTTTTACAAGCTTTCTTTGCTGGACTCTCGATTTTTCTCAGGCTTTCGGCCGCCATATTGGAGCCGCCATATTAGATTTTTCAAAGGCGCACTCGGCATTTGAAAGTAGACATTCTAAGCTTTAAAATGAGTCCTTGGTCGATTTTTTTGGTTGCTCCTAATTTTGGTCGTAGCTCTGATCCGGTTGACGCGATTGTCCCATATATATATATATATATATATATATATATATATATATATATATATATATATATATATATATATATATATATATATATATATATATAATACGGGTGAGTCACGAATTGCGCTCGCCCCGATATCTCCTAAAATATTTGGAATAGAAAATTGAAATTTCGAGGGCTTATTATACGACTAAAATGCCATCATTTCAATAAAAAATCAAGTTTGGTGCACATCCGGTTTGACCGGAAATGCCCACAACTTTCGATTTTTAAATGAAACACCCTATATATTTTTACATTTTTGGACTCTAGAGGAAACTTTGAATACAATACATCCATTTTGGTCACTTTTTGATAAACATTAAAAATTTTATTAAAAAAATCTATTTCTGAATCCAGAGTGCTGTGGTGCCCAAAATATATTTTAGTTTGTGTGCTACGTTACTATAAAAATAAAAAGAGCAATATGATTGCATTACTTAATTGTCTAGAGGCGTTTAAACTTTTTAAATGTGATTTTTACCCACTAACTCGGTTTTTTTAAATGGGAAGTTAATCGTGCACCAACATTTTTAAATACCCCATTTTCATACGAATCTAATGATACCAAAATTTTGAAAATCCGCTTAGAAATATTTGAGATTTCAGCCAAAATACAATGCAACCAAGCTTTTAGAAAACATGTGGCTAATAGATTAGTGGGCTTTGGAAACTAAAATGACACATTTCTGTTTAAAATCTGGTAACCTAATAACATTGGAAAAATCATAGTAACGTAGCACACAAATTAAAATATATTTTGGGCACCACAGCACTCTGGATTCAGAAATAGATGTTTTAATAAAATTTTTAATGTTTATCAAAAAGTGACCAAAATGGATGTATTGTATTCAAAATTTCCTCTAGATTCCAAAAATGTAAAAATATATAGGGTGTTTCATTTAAAAATCGAAAGTTGTGGCATTTCCGGTCAAACCGGATGTGCACCAAACTTGATTTTTTATTGAAAAGATGGCATTTTAGTCGTATAATAAGCCCTCGAAATTTCAATTTTCTATTCTAAATATTTTAGGAGATATCGGGGCGAGCGCAATTCGTGACTCACCCGATATATATATATATATATATATATATATATATATATATATATATATATATATATATATTATTATTTTTTTTTTTTCTAAAGTTTCGGTTTATTACACGTTATTAGATTGTCTGTTTTAACGTAGTTGCGTTAAAACTTTAACTTACAAATTTTTTGTGTACGAGGTTCGATAGAAATTTTGTTGGATAGAGTTTTGAAGTTTATTTTGATATAAATCGGGAATTCCGGGTTCTGGCGAGTTTTCTTTTACTTTAAGAAGTGAAAGCGTTTTGAACTTGGTTACTAACTGTTTATTTTTAAAATCAACAACACATTCGTAATGTTCCATAAAGTCGGAACCTAAGAGTCCATCAAATTCTATGTCCAAATTATAAATGTACAATTTGTGAGGATCACTAAATATAAATGAAATTAGAATTGATGCATTAATCATTAATTTTTGATCTGTTATACCTTGAATTACAACATTTTCTGGGTATCTTTTTGATTTACAAGTATTTGCTTTGAAAATAGATATTCCAGCGCCGGTATCTATCAAAATTTTGAACGTGTTGGTTAATATAATATTAATTTTTTTAATTTACAGTATGACGCGTTGTTTTTTGTTTGGGTCCCGTAGATTTATGTTTTGATTTGGTGGGATATGTGTTTTATTTGTGTTGGAGTCCGTGGGATACCTAAAAATCCTGAGAATTAGCAGTATAATCCTCATATAGATTTTGAAATTGGCCGTATAATTCTCAAACGATTTCTGAGAATTAGCAGTATAATTCTCTTGTGGGTAATAAGAATTATCAGTACAATTCTCTGATATATTATTTTAATTCATGTAATCAAAATTAGGCTGATAATCTTGATAATTTTGGTAATTATAATATTCAGATGGTTGGTTGTTAAGGTCGTCAAATTCAGAATAAGAATAAAAGTCACAATTTTGTGAATCGTAATAATTATTGTCAAAGTTTTAAGTTTACGTGGTGTGCTCTTTGTTGTGGGAATCGATTAAAATTCGGATTCGTTTGAATGGCTGAAGGCCTTTGTTGATTGGGATTAGGTCTTATTACAGATGGCCTATTTTGTTGAGAAGTACCTGGTTGATTGAAATATTGTGAAGAGAAATTTCTCTGAAAGTTAGAATTTGAAAAATTTGGTCTAGGAAATTGTGTTTGATTGGGATAAATGTTAGGTCTGATATTTGAATTTTGTTGGGAAAATTGTTGATTTTGCCCTGTGCGGCATTCGTTAATTGTATGACCATTTCGTTTATAAAATGAACAGAACTTTTGTTGATTTAGATTTAGGCATGTTTGTGGATTTTGAACGAAATTTTTTTTGACTCTTATAATATTAAAAAAAATATTATTAATTTTATATATATATATATATATATATATATATATATATATATATATATATATATATATATATATATATATATATATATATATATATATATATATATATATATATATATATATATATATATATATATATATATATATATATATATGTGAATAGTGGTGAGAGGTATGAAACTTCTCATATGGTCTGAATGCTACTATCCTGAGTAGTTGTTTCCTTCAAATCATATTTAATCACATTAGTTAAGTCCACCTGGGCTAGGGGTCGCCGCTCTCGGTACTTGCTGTGATGCAAGTCGCTATCCGCCACAGAGACATCGAGGATGTCGGTTGGATAGTAGCATTCAGACCATATGAGAAGTTTCATACCTCTCACCACTATTCACTTCACCATAGTTAGTATATAACTAGCAGGTTGGCCACTATATTTGTATGTTCCATAACCTATGGTATACTGAAGAGAACAAATAAGTTCGAAATCGATCTATGTCTGGTTAGGAATTGACAAATGATATTGGCTATCGATCTATCATGATTTGAAGGTGTAATTCAATGCAGATCGGGGTATTTGCCCGCTGAGTAGTTGTTTCCTTCAAATCATATTTAATCATATATATATATATATATATATATATATATATATATATATATATATATATATATATATATATATATATATATATATATATGTGTGTGTGGCTTCGTTATCGAATGGTAAGGACATTTGTCTCTCACTCTGGAGTCCCGGGTTCGAGTCCCGGTCGAGGAGCTAGGATTTTTTCTAAATCAGAGAAATTAATCCTAGCACAGTCGGTGTGTGTCAAATGTCTTTAAATGTGTAGTCCTCTCCTTCACAAGGTACCTTAGCCTTCAGGTATACAGAGGGTTGTATTACCTGCGGTTTTTAATTTTTATTTTAGAACACAAATATCAAAGAAGGAACATTAAAGTCATTAAGTACTATTATGCCCTCACTTCAAATGCCTGCAAACATAAAACTAGGCAACTGAAATAGACCATTTCGTTACATATCAGTACATGTACTATTTAATACAGTGTGTCAAAATTTTATGAAAATGTGTGTTACAGTTTTTGAAATATCGAATGATAATGTAATTATACTTACAATTATATTATTACTTATACCATAATTCTATATGACTACAAAATTATTATCGTTATGTACATTGAAATAATATAATAATATATTTACTCATATCTCCCCTATATTGCTTTAGCAGATGTAATATGAGAAACTCAAAAGATCTTTTGTTACGAATTATATTTTAAAAGTCTCTGAAATGAATACACTAGTACATCTTTCCGACATCTTGTGATTGTCCAATTTTATGAGTTATTAAATACAAAGTAGAAACTCTATTACTGCCTATAAAAGATGTCATAAAAAATTCCACTTTTTATAATTCTGCTATTTTGAAATCGTTAAAAAGTTATGAAATTTTTATTTTTGAAGCGACTACCATGCATACATATTTTACTATAAATGTAAATATTTATCTATGAAAACATTCTATTTCTTATTATTGTTGTCATTTTTGTAATTCATCCGAAAAAAGTTTTAATTTGCAGGTACTGATGCTACTTGGTTTTGGTGACAGAACCCATACCCAATGAAACTTAGACTTTGTCCTAGGTAAATACACGCTGTAACAAATTCGCTTCTCACTACAGAGATCTTGGAAACGGTAAGAGATACAGCATTGGTTAAACTGGGGCAAAGTTGCAGAATTTGGCGATCAAAAATATGCCGTTGAGAAATCGAAAACATCTCTTGTTGTTCTTGAGATTTTTTAAAAAAAAAAAATTTTTGAATTGTCGTTAAACAAAGGACACTTTTTCATTGACGTTTTCTATACTTCAAAATTTAGTGTGAAAAGTTTTTTATAAGACGTTTCGTCTTTTTCGCGACCATCATCAAGTACGTTGTTTTAAATACGGACCGGTAATTTTTATTGCATTTTTATAGCATTTGACCTCAGACTTCACTGATGAAAAAGTGAAATATCCTTCCCATAAAGTGCACTTATATTACAAGCAAATCCAGATTTTGTTAAAAAGTTATATTTTCTGACAAGGCAACTTTTTCTTTACATGGTACTATTAACAAACAGAACTGTCGGTATTGGGATTCAGTGAATCCAAACTGGATGCCGCAGATGCAGAAGGTGAAAGTATGGGTACGGATAGTAGGTAATCGAGTTCTGAGACTTTTTTTCTTCGATGAAACACTGTCTGAGGATCGCTATTTGGAATTGCTCCAATTTAAACTTATTCCCGCTTTAGACATTTTATACCCCGATTAAGATTTGTTTCATAACAATCTTTGGTGTCAGCAAGATGGTGCATTATGCCGCCAACGTTTGCCAATACTTGGACCTAACTTTCCAAATGGATGTATTGGTAGAAGAAAATCTATAGAGTTGCTTGCAAAGTCACCAGATCTAAGTCCACTCGATTTTTTTCTCGTAGAGTTACTTAAATATTAAGGTCTACAAAGATAGGGTTTTTAACAAAGAAAACTTAATTTTATTTATACAAGGTGCAGCAATAGTGCGTCGGACTTCGATATCTCGAGTTCTACGATAGCTAGAAATAAAAAAAATTACAAATAAATTAGATAAAAAAAGTCTATAACCGGAAATTATTTTCGAATAAACAGAGCGAGCCAAGACGAAATTACAGGATCAAGTGCCTTTTTTTAAAAATGTATATCAGTACATTTTTTGCAGCAAAATTACGAAAGGTGTATTTTAGTCCAGGTATACTATGCGTTTCGTACGCTCCATCGAAAATTGTTTCTTATAATTCAATTTTATAGCAGTACATCGAAGATTGGATTGTTATAAAAAACACGTTACATAAATTAGACAAACCACAAATACAAAACTGGAGCTGCACGGGCGGGGGTTTCACAGTTGAAAAAAATGCGGACACATAACCAATCCCTGCTGAAACCGGCAATTTAAACCGGCAGTCATTATACAGTTAACTTGCCACGTTTGTCTCTAGCCCACTACGATACCGAACTCGTTATTTTGCAAAATGTTACAAAAATTCAGCAACACCGAGATAATAAATGTCATCTATTTACTAAAGAAAAAAATGTAGGAAAGAAAATGTTTACACTAACTTGACCTTAATTTTCATTCTCTTAATTTAATTTGACGTATCAGTGTGCGCAGTAATTGTAAAACGTGTTATTTTCATTTAGGTAATTTACCCCTTTCGTGCGTGCTCAAAATTATTGAGGCAAAAAGTTTCTGAGAATACAATTTTTAGAGAGGCAGAAGATTGGATCGTTATTTTTATGTTAGTTATTTTTCAAAATTTTGTGTCATTAAGTGTGCAACATCATGTCATTTCGTCCACGTAAACTATCGTTTCCGTGCGTTGTGTAATATCAAAATGGAAAATCAAACAAAAATTTTTTTTTCTAGAATATTTTTTTATAAAGTAAATAGTCGGATATTTTATCGAAACGGCACACTTTTGGATTAAATTTAAAAATAATTAATATAAAAATAAGAATCCTCTAGCATTCTGCTATAAAATTAAATTCTAAGAAACTTTTTTCTGCCCAATTTACGATAGAACATACGACAAGCATAGTTTACTTGGACGAAAACAACACTCTCTATATAGTTAATTAAATTAAGGGAATGAAATATCAAGAATAAGTCAGTGTAAACATTTGGGAGACACTTTTTTTGACCTAAGCGTTTTGTGAAAATTATTTTAAGGAAAACCAAAACTACAGCCTCAATAAGAAATTCATAGTATGTGCAGGATATGCTATATATGAGCCACTTATATCTAACTCCCCAAAAATAATGTGATACTGATAATACGAATATAAAAAATATTGCTGTTATAAAGCACTTAACAAAAATTTGCCCGGGGTAAAAAATTAAAAGAACTCCGTATACTGAAGAGAATAAATGGTTACTCTTTACAATTCCAATAATAACCTTACTTCATCACTTTACACTTATGTTCTCTTTAGTATTGTTCTTAAAAAAAGATTTTAACTGTGACTTTCTAGTAAGACTGCATTCTCATAGAGCAGGTGTGATCAGACCTGTGTGTGGGGCCTTGGCAGGTTTGATTGTGCTATTGGTAGCCAGCAGCTACCTTGATATGCTACGAAGTTAACTTTCGCAATATACTTATTTATTTAGCTTGAAACATCATAAATTAGTATTTTATACAAAGCTTTTTTCTTGGTTGTATGAAAACAAGTTATTATCGGCCTAACTAGAATTTATTGTGATTACGGTTTTGATGCGATATAAATATGCTTGAATAAAAAGAGAGACACCATCTGTACTGCCATATGATTTTATGTGAATTTTAGATTGTAGTACCTCATAATATATACAGAGTTATGCCAAACTTACGGAACGGCCCATTTATAGTAAAACCGCACACTGTATAATTAATCTGAGGGTTAAGTCATATTTTCCTTTAAAACCGTATTTCTGGATACCCTTCTGCTAGGTTTTTAATATTTGACATGGTACTTTGCAATCGTTTGAGGTTAGCATTCATTGATTGGTAGCGGTATTTTTTTTCTAACGGAATTTCCTATATTATTATATTTATAGAGATTTGGAAAGAAATTTTCTGATTTTTACGATTTAAAGTTTCTTGAGGTTATTTTGAATATCTTCGAAGTTATCTAGCAAAATAAAAAGTCAAATTTATACGAAGTAAATTATTGTCAAATTCTACAAAACTATTTTATAACAAATGTTCGAATTACTGGCTTTCTAGTGTCCGACAGTTTCCGAAACTATCAACAAAAGTATTCAAGGCAATGACTTCGTCATTGATTCAAGGTGTTTTGCAGCCACTAGACGGAGGATGTTATTACAAGCAGCCAGTATTCTCCTTTCCAAATCCGCCAGGGTTTGGTTTGGTAAACAATGGATTTTAGGTGTCCCAAGAAACAAATAGAGAAGGGTAAGATCGGTATATCTTGGTGGCCATTCAATGTGCCCTTTATACTTAATTGTACTAATTCATTTTTTAGAAAAGGCCTCGTTCAGATACTTCCGTATGTTTCATTGTGGCTTTTCGCGAAATCTATTACCAATATTTGTAATTCTCTCTGATATGTTCGAGATTCAAATTGCACGGAATATTTCTATATCATATCATATCACATCATATCATATCATATCATATTATATTATATTATATTATATTATAGTAAGTTCCTTATACCTTAGAAATATAAAAACCCCTTGTGGCTATTAATAAACCCGAACCCTATTAAAAGAAAATTATAGCTTAGAAACAAACTATAATTTTGTATCAAAATAAATTTACATTACTTCACGCTATTGTTACAGATATAAATCAAAAATGTGATTGTCGTGAGGTTTAAAATTTACATTTTAAAACATGCTGGCTATATTTTATGAATGAATTTATTCTGAGATATATTTTTTCCTCTATAAAAAATTACGTTTTTCTATGTTGGTCCCTGAATTAACATTATTTTGAATAATCTTTAATAGTAGTTAATCTGTGTATATTATTCGTGTTAAAGGGATGTAATTACATTTTAGTCAATTTTTAAATCCAATTATTGATTAATTTATATTCTTATTCACATATAAATTATTAACTCATTAATTATAATTAAGCGGTAAGCGTAAATTAGATAAGCAACATTAGATATTTTATTCTTCTTATCTATCTAGGGAATTTAATTAATCACCCCGAAAATATAAATTCGGGTTTTCG